TAAAGTCTGCCTTCCCCACTGAGCTGTCAGGCTTCTGCTCTGGCCTAACTCACTTTCTGTGCTAGGGCAGCTGGCTCTCTGGGATCCTCAAACTTGACCTGCCTGTTCTGCCTCAGGGCCTCTGCCCCTGCTGTCCCCTCTTAACCTAGTTAACTCCTACTATGCTTTTCTCAGCTCAAACATCACTTGCTCCGTGTGTCCTGCACATTCTGTAGTGGCAGTAACCACTGTTTGTAGTTACTGGCAGTGCACATGATCACAGGCTAGAGCCAGACTCCTGGGGTTCGAGTCTCAGCTCGGCCTCTTCCTCGCTGTGTGACCTTGGGCAGCTTGCCATACCTCTCTGCCTCAGTTTCCTCCCATGTGGAATGGGAGCAATAATAGATCTTTCGTCCTGGGGTTTTGTGTTAAATGACTGGCCAGGGAAAGCCTCCAGGAGAGCTATACGAGAGTGATTGGAGCATGTCTCTTTCACCAACTGGGTACAGACCCCTGAGAGCAGGGACCATGACTCCCCTGCAGCCATCATATCCTGGTGCCTGGAAGAGCAGGCATTCTATAAATATGAGTCAAAAGTACTACACTTTAGAGTGGATCTCTGGAGGAATCATTATCTTAATCCAGTAGTTCTCAAACTGGGCCCCTTGTGACACTAATTAATAATACCAGCTCACAATAATTGACCCAGGCCAGGCTTTCTCCTTTGATCACATCATCTCACCCTCACAACCATCTTGAAAGGTAGGTAGCGTTATGATCTCATGACCCCTATTTTACAAGTGAGGAAACTGCAGCACAGAGAGTTAAGTAAGTTGCTGGAGATCACACAGTAGCAGAATAGGAGTCAAATCCAGGAAGCCTTCCAGGAAACAATAAATGTTTGAAAAACATAGTCTTAACCCTAAGATGGTTATCTTTGTGACTGAAGGAGCTCTCCTCAGGGGCATCCTTCTCATCTGTTTCTGCCTGACTCAATTCTGGGCAGGTTTTCAAACCCAGTTCAAATGCCCCTCCTTCCTCCAGCCCACATCCCATGTCCTAATCCACTTCTGGACCCTCAGAGAGGAGAGGTGGCTGCTCTGTCCATGGCAATCTATCCCTTTGGGCTCGGGGACCCCTACTATCCCCTCTGGGCTGGGCTCTGACAGTTATCCCCTCTGGCTCTGGAGTCTTCCATGTTTGCTGCCCACCTGTCCGCCCCCTCTTCGTCCCCCGCTGCCTACACAAGCTCAAGCCCATCCCAGCTCTCCGGGGGAGACCATCCCTCACTCCCACGTTCCCTGCATCTCCTTTCAAAGCATGGCGCCTCCTCCACTGACTTTCCCAGCCCTCTCTCATGTCCTCACCTCCCAATTATTTCATAGTCTGCTGCAAACCATCTTCCCTAAAACCGTGTCAAAGGTCACTCATGGCCTAGTGGTCAACTCCTACACCAGGAATAGGGGACACTGCACTTAAATACTTGCCAGGCCTATGATAAGCTAAACTTAAGCCTCATGGTAAACCCTTGAAGTGGGGACTATTGTTATCCCCATCCTACAGATGAGGAAACTGAGGCACAGAGAGATTTTTTAGCAACATGCTAGCCCTGAGCCCAGGCAGGCTGGCTCCAGGAGCCACACTCTGGCTGCTCCACTGCACTGTCTCTGATGGGCGTCTGCAGCGTCAGTGTGGCCTCTCCTCCTTCCTGGCGTTCTCTCTGCCTTGCTCGGTGACGCCTCATCTCCCCCTCCCTCTGCCTCCCTCTGTCTTTCCCCAGTGCGTTGGCAGCTTCTCTGTTGCCTGCTTCTGAAATGGTGGTCCCCTAGGGCTCTGTTCTTGGCCTTGGTGAGCCCAGTCATTCCATGGCTTGCCACGCACTTGACACATCTGGGCTTCAGAATGACGGTACCCCCAACCTTCTCGCCGTCTCAAAGAGTGACTATGAGGGTCAAAACCAACATCACATATTGCCTAAAGTAAGTTTTGCAAACTGTAAAGTACTGGACAAAGGCAAGAGCTGTGACTGTTACCGTGATCGGCTCCATTCAGAGGTCAGTGCCCCGTCCCCTCCTCTAAATATTCTTGGAGCACGTCATCGGCACTTGAACATGGCATCTGTGAGTTGGAACTTGGCAGCTTTTGGACAGGTTGTGAAAATACCTGACAGCTGTTCAGACTACAATGTCGAGGGAACTTACCCAAATGGAAACTTAAGGGAATAGTGAGACCAAATATGTTACCTGAATGGGCCAACTGGGCAGGTCTCCAGGCCACCTTCCCAGCCTCCTGTAGCTGTAAAGAGGCGTGATTACGTTGCCAGCAGGCATCCGATGCTCTAGAAGAGGGAGCTGGTTAGACAGAGCAGCCCAGAATCCCTCAATTTATCATAGCTGAAGGCTGCAGGCCCAATGCTGTGAGACCCCAGCTCTTGTAGATGGCAGGGTGACCACAGGAAAAGACTTTTAAGTCAACAGATCTGGGTTTGGAGTCTCACTCTAAACCAAAAAATGCATCTCTGGTCCACTCTCAGTATCCCCATCTCACTCTCTGGGAAAGATTTTTAAAGCTCCCAAAATTTAATCTTTGCTGGANTGACAACACCAAGCCAAGGGTTAAGATCCCCTTACCGGACATCTTTAAAAAAAAAAAAAAAAAAAATCTCCTCTGGGGGAACAGTAGTCTTTCCAAAAAACAGTGCTGGGACAAGTGGATATCCACATGCAAAAAATGAAGATGAACCCCCACCTCCTATTACATAGAAAAGTTAACACAAAATGGATCAAAGTCCTAAACATAAGAGATAAAACTATAAAACTATGGGAAAAAAAACAGTAAATCTTTGTGACTTTGGATTAGGCAATGGCTTCTCAGATATGGCACCAAAAATACAGCCAACCAAAGGAAAAAAATGCATAAATTTGACTTCATCAAAATTTAACACTTTTGTGCTTTAAAAGATAACCTGTAGAACTGCAGAAAATATCTGCAAGTCATATATCTGGTAAAGGACTAGTATCTAGAATATATAAAGGAATCTTGCAACTCAAGAATAAAAAGACAAGCCAATTAAAACAGGCATGGGCTCTGAATAGACATTTCTCCCAAGTAGACAGACTAATGGCTAATACGTACATAAAAAGATGCTGAACACCATTAATCTTATTAGGAATGCATATCAAAACCACAATGAGATACCACTACACACCCACTAGAATGGCTACAATAAAAAAAGACAGACAATAGCAAGTGCTGTAAAGGATGCCGGGTAATCAGAACTCTCATACATTGCTGGTAAGAACAAAATGGTACAGCTGCTGTAAAAAAACAGTTTAGCAGTTCCTCGAAAAGTTAAACATATGGTTGCCATATGACCCAGCAATTCCACTCCTAGCTATACATGAGAATCGAAAACATATGTCAAGAAACCCCCAAAATTTGTACATAAGTGTTCATAACAGCACAATTCACAACAGCCAGAAAGTGAAACAACCGAAATGCCCATCTGTGGAAGAAGGATAAACAAAATGTGGTCTATCCATATGTAAAATGTTATTCAAGTCATAAAAAGGAAGTACTGATACATGCTACATCATGAATGTACCTCCAAAACATTATGCTAGGTGAAAGAAGCCAAATAGAAAAGGTCACATACTATATGATTCCAATTATATGAAATGTCCAGAATAAACAAATCCACAGAGATAAAAAGTAAATTAATTAGAGTTTTCCATGGGCTGGGGAGCGAAGAGTGGGTAATGACTGCTAATGGGCATGGGTTTTCTTTTTGGGGTGATGAAAACATTCCAGAATTAGATAGTGATAAGATGTGAGTTCACGGCCACCATCTCCTCCTGCCCCAATATGCTGTACCTGGCCTGAAGTCTTCTGATTCCTTTCTTTGTTGTTCCTTGTGGAAAGCCATTAGCAGTAACATCCAGTGGCTGCTCAGGAACTGCACTCCAGCTGATGGCTATGAAAAAAATGAGATTCTGGGGTTAAAACTGTTGTTTCCTGTAAATGCCAGAGGCATTTTATTAAAAGTATTTCTCTGACACTACAGGCCCAAGAGAGCTAGATATGACGTCAGAGACAATGACTACCACTTTGATGCTTGGCCTTCAGGGTACAATAGTATAAAGTAGTTCATAATTCATTATAATCATTATAATGGCTAATAATCATTGCATTTATTATATGCTGGACACAGAATAAATGCATTAATTAGAATTTCCTCTTAATCCTCATAATAACCCTGAAAAATGATATCTTCTAATCTGAAGATAAAGAAACAGAGGCCAAGAGAGGATTAGTAATTTGCCCAGGGTCACAGAGAACGTAAACTTGACTCAGTGTGGGTGTCTCCAAAGCTCATGTTACTGAGTGGTAAACTGTCTTCCCAGGCTGGGGGTTATTTAGACCCTCACAGGCCACTCTCAGTCAGGGGAGAAGTTACTCCAGGGCAAGTGTAACCTGGATCACTTACCTGCCCCACAAGGAACAAGTCGGTCTGGGCTGTTGGCCCTTTTTGCCTGCACTGCACAGCGGCTCTGTTCAAATAGCAAATCTGACTGCTGGATTTTCAGTTCTTGAACTCCAAAGCCTTTGGGTAAAGCTGAGACATTCTGACACCTAAATGTGAGGGAAAATGCATTCAGTTTAGGCACACTCCTACAGAAAAAGAGTATGCACATCATCACCCCACATCATCACCCCTGAGCCTTAGCGGGAGGCAAAGGTCTTAGAAGGTGTGTGGATTTATTTGCTCATGTGTTTATTGGGACAGGGACAAGAGAGTGTGCCAGAACAAAATCTAGATCTTAAGAACCTTATGGTTGGAGAAAGATCCCTCCCCATCACTCAGAAGAGATAACTAAAAATCAAGTCAGTGTCCTTCAGTGATGTCGATAATACCATACTGCATTCCTGATGTAGGCTTTGAAAAACTTGAAAACTTGAAGCAGAAAGTTTTTGTTGGCTCCTGATTCCCAGGGAATCCTTCAAACACACCAGAAACCAGAATTATCCTGTAATATAAAAGCTTGATTTTTTTCTCCTGTATCTTTCACACAAACTGGATGCCAACACATCATGCTGGTCTAGAACTGAGCAGATACCAACTTCAAGTCCCAGAAGAGGGAAAACACAGAAAATGTCCTGGGCCGAGTGCCTAGGGCTGCCCTTTTTTTTTTTTTTTAAAGAATATCTTTTATAGGCATATAGTTCACATACCATCAATGGTTCAAATCCAACCATTTAAAGTGTATAATTCAATAGTTTTTGGTACATTAATAAAATTGTGCAACCATGACTTTAATCTTTCTTTTTTTTTTTTGGTGGCTGGCTGGTACAAGGATCAAACCCTGAACCTTGGTGTTATCAACACCATGTTCTAACCAAATGAGCTAACTGGCCAGCCCCTGAGTTTATAACATTTTCTTCACTCCAAAAAGAAACCTTGCACTCATGAGCACTCTCTATCCCGTCAACCACTAATCTGTCTGTCTCTATGTATTTGCCTATTTTGGGTGTTTCACATAAATGAAATCATACAATATGTGGCTTCTTTCAATGTTTTCAAGGTTCATTCACATTGTAGCATGTATCAGCACTTCATTTTTTTTTTCTTATGTCTGAATAACATTCCATTGTATGGACAGACCACATTTTGTTTATCCATTCATCTGTTGAGGGACATTTGGGTGTTTCACGTTTTGGTTGTTATGAATAATGTACTGCTATGAACATTTGTGTACAAGCTTTTGTGCAGATGTATGTTTTCATTTCTCTTGGGTAAGTAGCTAAGAATGAAATTGCTGGGTCATATCCTGGGGCTACTTTTTGGAGTCTGCTTCAGGGTCTGTATGTTTGACACGAGGCTTCCCTGGCCATGGCTCTGCCCTGCCCTCATTTACTATAGCATTAATCGGGTCTGGCTGCCTCCTTCAGGGAGACCACACTTGTGTGGTCATCCTTTGTCTTTTTAAAAACTAAAACTAATGCTTGAGGGGTTTTTAATAAAATTATAATAGCAATATACTTGTGTGCATGCTATAGAAAAATTAGAAAATATAGCAGTAACAAAGAAGGGAAAAAGCCACACATAATACCACAACTCAGAGATAATCAATAATACCTTGGTGTACATCCTCCCACAATTTTTTCTATGTGCATATAAACTATAAGACCAAAATGAGCTGATTTTATCTTCTATATCGTTCTTTAAACATTATGAACATTTCCCCACATTAAACATTCATCAATATTATTTTTAACAACAACAAAAAAAATCACTTAATTTCCCACTGCTGGGTATTTCAGGTGTTTCCTTTTTCTTTTTAAAAATTACTACATACAAGCTAAATGTCTGAATACTTTCTTATTTTCTTAGGACAAACTTCTAGAACTGTTGAATCAAAAGTAAAGAGATTTTTTTAGGCTCTTTGGATGTACTCTCTGACTGCCTCTCAGAACGACTGTTCCAAGTGAGCCCGACCCCACTGCCCTCTCACCTCCCCATCAGTGCTCTGTGCATGGCTTCTTGGTTGTATGGGCACTTCCCAATGACCACAGCTGACAGGTAGATGGGCTCTTCCAGGAAGTGCATCAACAGTGCTCCTTGGCATCCGAGGACGTTCCATCGGGCCACCTTGTCACTGCAGGACATGGAGCAAGTCTTGTCTCCCCGGCCTGGCTTTACTCGGAGCAGCCCTACCTGGTGATATGCAGCACCAGGCTTCCTCAAGTCTCCAGTTTCTCCAGGCACACACTTGGCTCCAGTTCTATAAATGTCCACCACTTTGGCACCATTGGAGGCCATTCTGGTGACAGTGGCCAGTCCTTCTACAGCGAGATTAGAGCTGCTGACACCTGGTGGGACTGGGCCACCTCCCCACTTGTCAAAACTCTGATAGTGAGCTGCACCGTTGGCGACCTCCCTTGCAGCAGTTCCAGGCTCAAGCGTCATCTTTTTGGTTACAGGACTGTCAAGGTCTTCACATTTCCTTTTATTTTCAGGAGCTTCCTGGTTACCAATGGCTTCTCCTGATGGGTTGTTGGCCCAATCTCTGCTGGCAGGAGGGCAAGGTTGATCTTCAAACTCAAGCATTGGAATGATGGAGGCATCCCCACCTGTAGAAGAAGGAACCCATTAAACCAGTGATTCTCAAAGTGAGGCCCCTGGACCAGCCACATCAGCATCTCTTAGGAACTCGTTAGAAATGCAAATTCTTGGAGGGCCGGCCTGTGGCTCACTTGGGAGAGCGTGGTGCTGACAACACCAAGTCAAGGGTTAAGATCCCCTTACCAGTCATGTTTAAAAAAAAAAAAAAAATGCAAATTCTTGGGACCCACAGTAGACCAGCTGAATCAGAAACTCTGGAGGTGGGGCCAAGTGATCTGTGTTTCAACAAGATCTCCAGGTGATTTTGATGCAAACTCAAGTTTGAGAACCACTGCTTTAATCAAAGATCAATCTATTCTCCCATCTGACCTGAGATAAATTAAGAGCACATGCCCAAATTTCCCTAATAAGAATCCTGTGTTGAAGACTCTATCCTAGACCCAGTGCGTCAAAATTCCTGGAGAGGGCTGGCCTGCGGCTCACTCGGGAGAGTGTGGTGCTGATAACACCAAGGCCCCGGGTTCGGATCTCATATAGGGATGGCCGGTTAGCTCAATGGCTGAGCGTGGTGCTGACAACACCAAGTCAAGGGTTAAGATCCCCTTACCGGTCATCTTTTAAAAAAAAAGAAAAAAAAAAAGAAAATTCCTGGAGGAGAGGGGTCTGGAATATTTTAACAAAGATCCCAGGTAATCTTATCACTAGGAAGTTCTGGAAACACTGCTTTAAACCAGAGCTTCTCAACCACTGTACTAATAACATTTGGGGCCAGATAATTCTTTGCTGTAGGGGTCTGTCCTATGCATTACAGGATGTTTAACAGCATACTGATCCTTACCCACTAGATGTCGATAGTACCCTCCAAGTCTGATAAGAAAGTTCTCCAGATGTTGCCAAATGTCCCCTGGGGAGCAAAACTGTACCATTTTGAGAACCACTGGTTTAGAATGAACAAGGCTACCCAAGTGCATTTTGTGGAATATTATTCCATAAGATGTCTTAGAAAACAAAAGTGGGTACTCTATTTCGTGGTTAAATAAATTTGGCAAACATTGCTCAAAAGTTCCCATTTTGGAAATTTTATGATGTGCATCTCCACAGTAAAGACTGCAATAAATCATACAACCTGGTCTAAATCACTGTTTCCAAAACTTGCAGTGTTTCTCCATGCTTGTTTAGAGACTTCTGATCTCTGTGCTTATAGGGAACCAAAGAAAACCAGAGGTCAGTAAAAAGCACAGCTCTCCCGTGAGAAGGGAACTATTTCTTCAGACTCTAACCTAATGTGTGTTGCTTTACTAAAGTGTGCAAATAATACATCTGTGGTCTTTTTTTTTTTTTTTTTTTAAAGATGACTGGTAAGGGGATCTTAACCCTTGACTTGGTG